TAAGTAGGCAAATGCTTAAAGAGGTGGAAAAGTAACCAGTATAATTTGATGATTATATGCTGAACACATCAAATTATTACTCTTTGTTCCATAAACATACACAATTAAAACAATAGGTTTAAAGACCCAAGTGGTCAGAATAAGAGAAATAATAAAGAAGGTAACAGAAATAAATTAATTGAGAATATTTAAAAATAGAAAAAAACTAAAAGAAATAAAAATGTGTCTGTTTTTAGAAGATTGCTGAGATTAAGAACACTGCAGTGACTGGGAAGTAAAACAAGAATTAAATGACCAATACAGGGAGTAAGAGCCTCTTGTATTGGACATACTTTTAATCCCTGCATGGTAAAGCAGAGACAAAATGATCATGTATTTGAGACTAGCCTGAGATACATAGTAGTTACATTCTAATTCAAAATTGTGTGAAATATGATATAATGAGTGATATTATGGACAATAAAAAGATAGGCAGAGAATGTTATAAACAACTTTATGTCGAGGAATTCAACTAATTTCTTGAAATAAAAAATCCTAGTGAACACAGTCAAAATTCATACATTAAGAAACAGACAACCTAAGTAGTCCTACTCTAGTAAAGAGATTAGATGTATTGTGTGAAATCATGTTGCATTGACATCTCCAGGCACAGAAGGCTCTACTGCTGAGCCCTACCAGTCATGTGGGTAAAATGTGGCCTCGGTTCTATCCAAACTCCTTGACAAAACTGAAGTGGAGTTAACATTTGTGCGCTGATTCTCTGAGGCTAGTCTTGGCCTGCTGTTGAAATCTAACAAAATCATTGCAAGATAAGGAAATGGCAGATCAGTTTTCCCGTATTTAATGATAAATTAACTATTCATACATTTTACACATTGAAAAAAATATAAGCAGAAAGGATAACATATCGCAGAAAATGGGGTAGGCTTTGTCTATCAATATGGGATTGTTTAACCATTCAAAGCCAATTAGTATAATTTATCACATTAATGCCTTCCCAAAAATTAATTTAAAAGCAATTCAGCATCTGTTATTGATGGAAAATAAACCTCTCAGAAAACTGAAAATAACAAAGAAATTCCAAATTGATAAGAAGAATCTACAAAAAAGATGAGCTGGCAATCCAGGTCAGGGGTAGAGAACTCACTGAAGGTTCGATACTCAGGAAAACAGCAATCTGAGAACGCAGTTTCTAGTGTAATGCTGAGAGGTGGAACACTTCCCCCCCCAAAGATCAGGAACAAGATAAAGATGCTTGCCATCTATCCCCAGGCAACTCTGAACCAGAGAGGACAGCATAGTCAGTAAGAAAGAGAAAAATGGGCATCCTCACTGCAAAATGGGCTTTAGAAAAAAGCTACAAGAACCAACAAGTCAATTTAGCATGGTTGAAGGATTTAAGATCAGAACAAAAATACACAAGAAAATCAGGAGCTAAAGAAAAAACTCCATGTCATATTCCTTTTCCATGGTTATTATAACCTAATACCAAAAATATTACGTATTGTTTATTACATCACAAATTTGTATCTTAATTCAAAACCAGTAGGCAACCTGCAAGAAGTAAGAAAACCAACCACTACCCCACACTCCCAGACCCAGCTCTGGTTTATAATCGCCTAACCTGAGGGAGGGTAGAACCCCACATCAAATACACAACTAAGGAAGAAGTCTGTATGGGTAGGTCACACCAGAAAGCACAGACAATATGAAATCCCAAGACAGTAAGTCACCCTCCAAACTCCCTAGTCCTATAAAAATGTTTTCTAATAAGAATTAACCTAGATGAAGCCTAGCACACAGAATTTAAACTAACGATCGTGAACTTTAGCCAAGATCGGAAGGAGCTAAAGGAAGAATCTTAAAGAGGAGAGCATGAACTTCTGGATGACACTCAAAGGGACAAATGCGCTGCTGAGTGGAGGGTCAAGGACGAACTGGCATTTAAAAACTGATTTCAGGCCAGGCAGTGGAGGGGCACACCTTTAGTCTCAGCACTCGAGAGGAAGAGATAGGTAGATCTCTGAGTGTGAAGCCAGCCTGGTACAGAGCAACTTTCAGCACAGCCAGGGCTCCACAGAAGAACCATGTCTTGAAAAACCGGGGGAAGAAAACAGACTGGATTTAGTAGAGGGACGGAAACACTGGAGAGAGCTCAGCCTGCGATGAAGATGAATTTGAAAAGCTCAATGACTCGACTAGGAAACTCTGGTGACAGCCTTACAAATAGGGTGGCTCGCGGAGAAGACGGAAAATCATGACTGGAACATAAAAATGGAGGACTTGTGATATTCAAACAAAGATGTGAATTAAAAAGACACACAAGAAACATGCAGAAATTGTGGGACACAATGAAAAGACTAAATCGTCTAATTATAGGCCGAGATGAAGAAGAACTCCAGGTTGGTGGAATAGATTGGATCTTCAACAGGATCATGGAATAAGACTCCCCCCAAGTTAAGGAAAGAAGTACACCAAGTCCACAAATCACCAAACAGACAGGACCAGAGAAGAAATCTCCTATAACATATTATAATTAGGACAAGACAAAAAAAAGCAAAGAGACAATATTGAAAGCTGCAAGAAAACAAAACGGGTCACATAAAAAGGAGAACCCATCCAAATAATAGTTAATTTCTCAATGGAAAATCGAAAAGTCAGAAGAGCCTAGAGCAACGCACCCCATGTTCTAAACAATCATGGATGCTAACTGGTATGCCCAGCACAACTATCTGTTACAGTTGAAGGGGAAAGAAAAAGTTTCCAAATAAGAACAGGCTGAAAGAATTTATGTTCACAAAACTAGGCCTACAGAAGAAAATGGAAGCAATAGTTCAGACTAAGGAGAGAAGGGCAAAGAGACTATAGGAAGAAAATAAATTAAGTTATAATTTGCAGCATGGATAATAAAAACTCAGAGACAGAAACATGGCATATGTTTATAAATAGACTAGGTACAAACCCTCAAATCAAGGCTGGAGGAAGTAAACCAGTAGGAGGAAAAGGGTCCCAAGAGCAGGCAGAAGAGTCAGAGACACTTCAGAAAATATTTTCAACAAAATAATAAAAGAAATGTCCCCAACCTAAAGAAGGTAGTATCTATTAAGGTTCAAGAAGCTATAAAGCATCACAACACTAAACATACAGAACAAAAAAAGAAAATTAAAAGCTTCGGGAGGAAATATGAAATGAAATATAAAGGCACACAAATCAGAGTAGCACTTGACTTCTCAGTGGAGACCCTGAAAGTCAGAGGGCCTGTGTAGCTACCAAGGTTTTTTCCCTTCTCCTGGCGATTTGCAGGGCCGTGTGACCTCCGACTCCCTGGAGATTCTGCACTAGCTCTGGCTTGAGGGGATAATTTAGCAAGAACCTGGTTCTCTTTGTTATGGTGATTCCACTTGTATTCAAGGTTTTAGCAGTGGGCCCATAGCCTGCCTCCCCCAGCTGATCCTGCCTGAGGCGCTGGGAGACTTTAATCTTCTCCTCCTGCTCCTGGATGGGAGGAGGCCTTGCATTTTCGATCCCTCTAGCCCACTGGTATATATACCCGACTTGAGTTTAATAAAGTGGTCATTTACTCTGGTAAATGAGCAAAGGTCTCTTTTTGTGTGTGTCTCTTTTAACCCTCAGGACAGTCGCCCATTCTCGTGGGCCCGAGTTCGGGAAAGCGCGCGCCTGGGTCGGGTGTGGATGTCCACTGAAAAGTGCGGGGTCTTACAGGCCTGGATAAATGCTCTACAAACTCTGAGATATCAGCCCAGATTACTACCATCTAGACTATATCCAGCAAAACTATTAATCACAATAGATGGAGAAAGAAAAATGTTCTGTGCTAAATCACATTTAAGCAGTATCTATCCACAAATCTAGCCCCACAAAAGGTGCTAGAAGGAAAACTTTAGCCCAAGGAGATGAACCACACCCAAGAAAAAGAATAAGAAATAAATAACCCCAGAACATTAAATCAAAAGAAGGGTAGGATCCACATCACAACAACAAAATAACAGAAATCCATAACTACTGCTCATTGATAACTCTAAATATTGATAGCTTCAGTTTCACAACTAAAAGACACAGACTAACAGAGTAAATTAAAAGACAAGATCCTTCTTTCTCCTGCTCACAAGACACACACCTTGCCAAAAACTGTAGATAAGACCTCAGGACTAAAGGATGGAAAAAGGTATTCCAAACATATGGAATGAGCTTCACACCTACAGTAATCAGTAAAGATAGTGAAGAACATGACATACTCATCAAAGGAAAATACACCAAGAGAACACTTCAATTCTTACCGTCTCTGCACCAGAGAGGGCACTCAATTTCATAAAAGAAGCACTATTAGATCTAAAATCACATATTGACACTCATACAGTGATTGTGACTTCAAAACTCCACTCTAGTGAATAGACAGGTCATCCAGACAAAAACTAAACAGAAATCCTGAAGTTAAATAACATCATAAATCAAATGAACCTAACAGATATTTACAGAACATTTCACCCAAACACAAAAGAATATTCCTTCTTCTCAGCACCTCATGGAACCTTCTCAAAAATTAAGCACATTCTTGAACACAAGTCTCAACAGACAGAAGGAAATCTGAAATAGCAGCTTGCATTCTATCTGACCACCATGTATTACAGATGGACGTCAGCAGCAACGATAGCTACACAACTCAGAGAAATGGAACACCTCAATCCTGGATGAAAATTCAATACAGAAATGGAGAAAGAAATGATTTAGGATTTACTGGAAATGAAACCACAACATACCCAAACCTATAGCATATGACAAAGGCAGTTCGAAGAGGCAAGTTCATAGCACTAAGTTCATATATAAAACAAAAACAAATGACAGCCAAAAGATGAGAGTGAAACCAAAGCCTGACATTGATCAGCCATGGCGGAGGTCTCTGGCCAGTATCCCTTCCAGCTGTCCACAAGCATGGGGATTACCTTTGCAGATCACTTCAAGGGCCCTTTTGGCAAAAAGAAATGGACATTCTCATGGTGGTCTCAGATGCTGCATGGAAGACAGCAATTCTACACAAACTGAAGCGAGGTGAAATTGTGACCACCATTGATCTCAATATGAAGATGGCTGAGTACACAAATATCAGCTTCACCATGTGGGATGTGGGCAGCCAGGACAAGATCTGGTCTTTGTGGTGCCACTACTCCCAGAACGCCCAAGGTTTGATCTTTGTAGTGGACAGCAATGACAGGGAGCATGTGAACGAGGCTGGTGAAGAGCTCGTGAGGACACGAGCTGGAGACGAGTTCCGGGGTGCTCTTCTCTTGGTGTTTGTCAACCAGTAGGACCTTCCTGATGTCATGAATGTGGCCAAAATCACTTAGCTTTTTTACTGAAAAAAAGAGAATCAGTTCACTGACCATACTGAGAAGGGATTTGGCTAGAGGGCCACCTGGCCTCTGAGAGTCATTAGGGTATGTCCATTTGGTGGTCAGTTTTCAACCCAAACTTAGCACATTAAAAAGAAAACAGTTCAAAATACAAGACAGGAACACTTGAATACACAGAACGGAGACTATGCCGAGTATAGGTTTTACAGTAAATGGCCTGAATGCTATTCCATCAGATCACCTGCTGCCCTGTGGGAGCAGGACAGGAGAAAAGGTGTCAAACCACCATCTGTTCCATGGTCAAGCAGAGCCCCTGTGACTTGCTTGTCTTTGGGTCACCTGTACGCCATAGCATTGTGCTTCTACTTGTGCTCACATGGTCACCTAGGGGGTAGACTGGGAGCCATTGTGGGGTGCAGGTCCCAGTTTGTACTTGGTGTGCAGTTGGGTCAGATGGAAGCCTCCATATCCAGCTTACTCTGGTGCCCTCTTGGATGCCCTGGCAGGAGGCCTGGGTCTCACCAACAGGAGGAATAGCCAAGATCAATAAAACAAGTGACAGCTCAGGTTGACAAGATTGTGGAGCAGGGGGAATGCTCATTCGCTGCTGGTGGGAATACAAATTTATATAATCACTGTGGAAACCAGGGTGTTAGTCATTTAGGAAGCTGGAAATAGAAATATGTCAAGATCCAGCTCCCCACCCTTGGGTATGTGCACAGGACTCCACATTCCATCACTGAGACACAGAGACACTTGCTCATTTAGGTTCATTGTTTCCCTCCCTATTCAGAGTGGACAAAAACTGGAAGGAGCCTAGATGTTCATCAATAGAGAATGGATAATGAAAATGTGTTACATTTCTTCAATGGAATATTATTCATTCATTAAGAAAAAAATAAATTATGAAAATTCCAAGTAAATGGATAAAGCTAGGAAAAATGATCCTTAGTGAGATAACTCTGACCCCCAAAGTCAAATATTGTAATTTTTTATGTGTCAATGTTAGCATTTAAGCATTTGATAGGCCTGCTAGACAGGAAGCAGATTACAGAGGAACGATTAAACAGAGAGCGCATGAAAAAGAGGTATAAGGGAAGGAGTATGGGGAGGGACATCTAGCACAGAGTCATATGGAAACCAACTATAGTAGAAACTTCTTAAATATATGCATGAATGAAAGAAGTCTAAATGGAGTAACCAAACAACGGGGGAGAAAATGCTTCAAGTAGACATCTTTCACCACCAAGTGGAATCTCCAATGTCACCACTCTAAAGATGGTGGGACCTGGGAGAATGGAGACAATAGATGAGGCAAATTAAAAACTCATGGGCCAACCTTATTCAGAGCATCAGACAATTTATAGTTTGGGGGTTAAGAGGAGTCACAAGAGTAAAATACAGTCACAAGAAAAAGCCACACGTGGCAGATAAGCTGAACACAGTGGACTTGTTTTTCCCTAGAGGCTTATAAACAAACCACAATAGTCAGTTGTAATGAATAATCTGAATTGAACTCGCTCCTATCCACTACACCTGGAAGAAGCATGAAAACACACGCTAGAACAATTCTGCGGTTTGAGGAAGCTTTTGTCTTGCTTCCTTGGCATTTTCTCACAGCCCTTAGAAGTCTTCTTGAATGACTCCATTCTCGGACTGTATTGTAACACCTGAGCGGAAGGACTGGGATACATCTAGCTGAGTCATAGGCAAAAAGGACCCCATGGAAGCTCCAAAACCCCCCAGGTTATTGCCAACCTATTGTTTACTGTCTATAAACTGTTGGTATGGCCCTATTGCTGAGGACAACACTTGTATATCTCATTGAAGACAGGGAAGTCAAGCAGGTGCCTAAACAGAACCTCCGCCTCTACTGACTTACCCACAGTTCTGAAAGGCATCTGCACGCTGCCAGAGAAAGGTAACCACCAACCTATCTACAAATCCTTAGATCTACAGCAGTGACCTTCCTGCATGACATGCTGGTATAATTGTGGCACAAAGGATATGGGAATACCCAACCACTCTTGATTAGGTTTAAGGCCCTTTCCATAAGATGGAGCCAATGCCTGACACTGCTTGGGTGGCCAAGAACCTGAGACTAAGGGAAAACCCAAATGCTACTGCTCTGCTAAAGGAACATAGCAATAAAATGATCCCTAATGACATTCTGCTCTCCCCATAGATCAGTGCCTCATTCACCATCATCAGAGATACTTCTTATAGTAAATGAGAGCTAATACTGAGACCCACAACTGGATAATGTGGAAAAAGTGAGAGATTTTGTAGCACTCAATCATAAGTGAGATGCCTTCATCAACCCTCTCCCCTCCAGGCTCAGGGAGCTATGTGGACGAGGAGACAGAAAGATCATAAGATCCAGAGGGGTAAACAGGAAGTCCCACTGTCTTATATACACAACAGAACCAATCCTCCTCATATGAATTCAGAGTCTGGGCAGCATGTATGGAGCCTGCACAGGCTCAAGTCTGATGGAGCCTCAATTGTCTCCAATTGACATCCTCCTTCAGGGTCATAATTAGTTCTCTCCAATGGAGTCTCCCTGAGTATATTAACCCCAGACAATATCATCTTAGAGAAAACCTCAAAACAATCCCACTAAAACTAGGAATGAGGCTATTTATTATTCTTACTCAGTTTTGATATAGCTTGAAACACTAGCTGGAGCAATAAGGCAAGAAAAGGAAATTAAAAGGCTACAAATAGAAAAGTAAGAAGTCAAGGCATCCCTATTTGAAGATGATATATTATACATAAAACACAAAAATTCCACCAGAAAACTTTTAAAATCAATCAACATTTTCATCAAAGTGATGGTAACAAAACAAGCTTATAAAAACCAAGAGCTTTTTAATGTACTCATGAGAAGCATGCAGAGAAAGAGATGAAGGAAAAATACTCATTCACTTTACAGTGGTCTCTAAAAACTAAAGTGGCTGGGAGAAAACCTACCCAAGAAGATGAAAGAACTTACAATGAAAAATTTAAATCTCCAAAAAAAGAGACTGAGAAAGACATCAAAAGATGGAAAGACTTTTCATGTTCTTAGATTGGTAAAATTAATATTGCTAAAAGCATCATCCTACAAAAAGTAATTTATAGATTTAATATATTCCCAGGCAAATTTCCCATAACCTTCCTCATAGAAATAGAAAAAAATTCCTAAAATTCATATAGAACCATAAAAGACCCTGGCTAGCTAAAAATAACAATGCTAGAAGGATGAGCAGTCCAGATCTTGAGATATAGAGTCATATTAATAAAAACAATATGGTACTGGCACAGAAACAGAAATGGAGACCAACAAAGCAAAACTAAATACTATCAAACATGAGTCATGCAACATTAGCTACTTAATATTTGACAGAGATGCCGAGAAAATATGCTGGAGGAAAAAAAAAGCATCTTTAACAAGTAATGCTGGGGAAACTGCATAGTCACTCGTAGAAGAGTTAAATTAGACCTGCATCCATCATCCTGCACAAAATTCAACCACAACTGGATCAAAGTAAAACCCCAAATGCTGAAACTACTAAAAGAAAACATAGGCAGTATCCTATAGGATACAGGTGTGGGAAAGGACAATAGACAAATGGGACCTCATGAAACAAAGAGTTTCTGTGTATCAAAGAAAATCATTGAAGGAGGGAAGATGAAACCTACAGAGAGGAAGAGACCCTTTGCTGGCTAGACATTTGTTGGAGGATTTACATCCAGAACACAGAAAGAACTCAAAAATAAAAAACTCAAGGCAACAACAGATTCCATTTTAAAATGGGCTATGGATCTGAACGGAGATTTCACAAAAGAAGAAATAAAAATCACCAAGAAACAACCTAAAAAATCTGCAACAAACTTAGGAATTAGGGAAATGAAAATTAAAAGTACTTTGAGATTTCATCTTACCCCAGTCAGAATGGCTAAGACCAGGAAAACAAGTGACAATAAATGCTAGCAAAGATGAGGATGAGGAGGAAAGGGGAAGCTCTTTCACTGCTGGTAGGATCACAGACTAGCACAGCAATTATGAAAATTATTTATGGAGAATGTTCAAAAAGTTAAAACAAATCAACTGTATGACCCTGTTATAGTACTCCTTGGCACATGCCAAAATGACTTGACATCTTATTCCAGAGAAAATTGCTCATCCATGTTCATGGCTTCTCTATTCATAAGAGCTAGGAAATGAAACAACCTAAATGGTCTTTAACTAATGGGTGGATAGCAGAAATGTGGTCCATACACACACTGGAATTTTATTCTGCTTTAAAGTGGAATTATTAAATTAGCAGGGTCGGACTAGAAAATATCCTAGTGAGGCAACCTAGGCCTAGAAAGACAAACGTCACACGCTCTCATTTGAGAATCTTAGCTCTTCATCTATAGTTATGAGTATATAATCTGGAGTCACTGCAGATACCAGGAAAGTAAGAAAGAACTGGGGGGGGGGGCGGGTAGAGATAGGAGTACAGTGAAACCCAAGTGTTATACTGGAGGCAATGGGAGAGCCTGAGGTGGGAGAGACTTTAACTGGAAAGGAGAAAGGAGAGCAATGCAGAAGGACAGCAAGGGAGGAGAAATAAATAACACTAGAGTTATTCGAAAAAGCCACAGGGAAACATTATTTTATGTCTACTTAAAACACATTAATAATATGTAAAAGTATGTATATACATATATACAAAATTTGAATGCAGTCACACCACGTGAGGTGATATTGTCCTTCAAGAGTCATGGACTATCTAACAGGCCCCAGTGCCAGGCATACAAAACTTCCCCTCAAGCCATTGGTCAGGAGAGATGAAGAGACTCCCCAAATAATCTAGGTTATTGCCACTGTTCTTGGTAGCTCCCAGAACTTGACGGTAAAGTCTCATTGTTGAAAATATCATACACTTTGGACACAGGACTTGCATGAGCAGATGTACAACTGA